CATACCTGGGCAGTGTGCTTATGACCGGCTCCAGTTTAACAGCAGAGGTCTCACTCCGAATCAGTCGAGCGGCAATATCTTTTCATCGGTTGCGTAACGCTGTGTGGAAGCTACCAGGTCTGTCGCTCCGCACTAAGCTTCAGGTCTTCTCGGCCACGGTGATTCCCTCCCTTCTCTACGCTTGCGAAACGTGGACCCCCCTAATTAAACATCTTCGCCGGTTAGAAACATTTAGGCTGGCCTGCCTACGATCCATCCTGGGTTTAACCAGGCTGGATTGTGTGAGGAGCTCACAAATCCTTGAAAGATCTGGGCAAGGTCCCATCGGTGAGCTCCTTCGGCAGGCAAGGCTGCGTTGGCTGGTTCATGTAGCCCGCATGCCCAGCCACCACATGCCGAAACAGCTTTTGTTCGCCGGATCGAGGAGGCTAAACGGGCGCGGCACGGGCTAGAGAAGAAATGGAATGATGTGGTAAGGAGGACGTGGAGCTGAGTGGACTTGTCGATGACTGGTACCAGCGGTGTCAAGATCGGCCTCTGTGGAGGGGGCTCGTGAAGGACGCTACTGGGCAGTTGGAGGCAGTCGCCCTCCAACAACAACGGAGGGCGGAGGAGCGACGCTCACAACAACGAGCGGAGCGCCGGGTGGCGAAAGCACAGCAGGTTAGCACAGTAGGGGGCACAGGTGGTGCATCAGCCAGTCATCTCAGTCAGTCGACCCGTGGCACCTGGGTCTGCCCCGTGACCTCCTGCCAGCGGGCGTTCGACACTTCACGTGGCCTCAAGGTGCACATGGTCTGGCACAAGCGTCGTGGTGACGTCCCCGCCACTTAGTGGCGAATGGCGGTTGTGGTTGTTGTGTGTCTGTGCGCATGTGTGCGTGCGTATGTGCGTGTGTGTGCGCGTGTGTATGTGTGTGTGCGTGTATTTGTGTGTGCGCGTGTGCGTGTATGTGTGTGTGCGCGTGTGTATGTGTGCGTATGTGTGCACGTGTGTATGTATGTGAGCGTGCGTGGTAACACACTGTGCTTCCAACCCGGCGACCCGAGTTCGACTCCCGCTCACAGCGACCAACACCAGCGACGATTATCTGAATCGGTTCTGGGCGCCCCATAGGTCGACTCAGCCTCGAATGAGTACCTGGTGCGGTGTGTAAACATTGCCACTGGGGAGACAAAGGCGTCCGCCCCCTCGTGTGCCGTGTCTCGGCATTCATAATAAGTGCTGCTACTCGCTAACAGCACTTTCCCCAACAGCCTTTGAAAAGCTACACGAGGGATCTTTACCTTTGTCTCTGTATCATGATCGCACCGAATAATGTACGCGTGTTTGAGTAAATACGTATGTGCTTATACACGTGTTAGTACACAAGTATGCATGTATATGTGTGTCTGTATGTATGTATGCGTCAGTCGACCCATGGCACCTGGGTCTGCCCTGTGACCTCCTGCTAGTCGGCGTTCGACACTTCACGTGGCCTCAACGTGCACCTAGCCTGGCACAGGCGCCGTGGTGACGTCACCGCCACTTAGTGGCGAATGGCGGTTGTTGTTGTTGTGGTATGTATGCGTGTGCCCATATATAAAAATATAAATATACTTCCACTACATAATATGTACACGCCTTATTTGCATATAATTGCATTTGGGAAGCCCAGGAATTATCATTATTACTGTGTCTACTCATCGATACTGCAGCGATATACAACTCATAAGCAGTCATTCTTCCACCTGCACACGAAGCGATCCTCCTCCTTCACCTCCTTTCATTCCTCTCTTAAAGCCTCACTACCTCTTCTCCATCATCATCGCCCATTCCCCTTCCCTCCTCCCCTCACCCCTCCAAATGCTGCCGGGCCCTCCCCTAGAGCCCCTTCCGTGACCCCCTAAGGACCCCTCTGGTTACGGTCAACTCATTCAGCGGCCCTTTGCACTGCCCCTGCCACCAGTCACTCGATTTTTGTTACCGCTTTTAAACAGTGTTATGTATGTAGCACGCGCGCGCCTTCAACAAAGGTGCCAGCGCTCTATACGTAAATATGTAAATACATAAAAATTAGATTAAACTATATTTATTAAAACTAAAATATCTGTTTGTATTTTAGCAGGTGAGGCCCAATGTAGCTCTTTTTCAGGGTCGACCTGGCCAGATGGTAGCTCAACGAAGTGGCTCATCATTATCGTGTGGAAATTTATAGTAGCAGCCAAATACTCTTAACGCGTGATATTGATTCTAAATGTGGAGGGGATTAAAAAACTGTGCGACCGGAAGAAAAATCCACGTAACCACGGGGAGAGAGAGACACGCAAACTCCAAATATACAGCAGGTGTCGTCAGGGTCGGGATCTCGAACCCACCGATTTGTTGTATACCAGGCGAGGTAGTTAACATCTCGCCACCAGATAAGATTTCTCACAATGGAATCTCTCAACAGGTGATCAGCGTTCACAATTAGACGGCCAATGAGGTTACAAACAGATAATCGCCACGTGGGGACCTAGGGACAGTGAACCGCCCATACTGGAAGTCTATGACAAAGAGCTTCACACCTCTTCGGATTCCTCTTGCAGTCTAAATCAAGATTCTGATTCTGATTCATCCTCCAGCACCAGCAGCACCGCTGCCAATGCCAGCGCCAGGCTCAGTCAATGGAGCTGTGATTGATGATGGTGGTTCTGTAGAAGTTAAGTGGGAAGCGGTGGTGTAGCTGTTAGCACACTGCACTACGAACTCAGCGACCCGAGTTCGATTCCTGCTCACGCCATCAACACCAATTACGATTATCTGAACCGGTTCAGAGCCTCCCCTAGGTTGACTCAGCTTCAAATACATACTTGATTGTGGTGTGTAAGCATCACCACTATGGAGACAAAGGCGGCCGGGCGTGGTGCTGGCCAGCCTTTATAGGTGTTACTGCCTAATAGCACTTGTCCCAACAGGCTATACGGGGGATCGTTGTCTTTGTTTTTTGCGTGGTGGTTCTGTCGAAGTAAATGATGATTCAAAATGTGTTAACGCGCAGAGATTTCGTTCATTCTCCTCCCGAAGGATTCAGGATCTCTGGGGAAATATAGACTATGAAATAAAACAATCTTAATTTTACCAGGTAAGGCCCACTGAGCTATTTATCTCTTTTCATAAGCGACCTGGCTATCACGCGTGATGTTGATTCTAAATGTGGAAAACCAGACGAACTCAGAGACAAATCGACGCGACCACGGGGAGAGAGAGACGCAAACTCCAAATATACAGCAGCAGGCGTCAGGGTCGGAATCGAACCCACGGCCTCTTGTATACCAGGCGAGGTAGTTAACATCTCCTAGCCACCGTGGCGCTCAACGGATTTATTTTGAAAAAGAGCTACGTAGCTCAGCGGTGGGTCTTACCTGGTAAAATAAAATAGTTTTCGTTTAAATATTTTATTTTACATGATGGCTGTGGGTGATGGTTCCCAGTTGTTAAGAAAACGTGTCAGCTCCCTGTGCAGTTTGCGCGATGCCTCTAGCGGATATTTGGTGGCAGAATGTTCACCACAACAATTTATATCTTTGTAGTTTTAACTCCCTACCGCCCCATCCACTCCAACTCCCTACCGCCCCATCCACTCCAACTCGCGACGAACGTTGACGACTCCCTACAACGTTTGGTCGCTCGAGTCAGGCGCCCGCGTCACGGAGCTAAATTATTTTTTTGGCACTTTTTGCAGACCTCATCGCCTGCTAGGGAGCTGCTGGGCCTAAACCTCACGAAGCAGTCAGGTCCCAAGATTCCACATATTCAAAGACACATTGCAATAATTACAACAACGATGATATATCATAACGATGAAATCCAAACTGGCAACCCGAAAACCCTAGACAAACTAAGAGCCGTTCTTGTTCCTATTCTGCCGAGTTATTGCTCGGAAAAGAAATACGTAACATAATTATCGGAATAACGTTGTGCAAATGTATTTAATCTAATCACGAATGAAGCACATACTCGGGCACACACACACACTCACGAGGAGAGACACTGACAGACACGAGCAACCACGGACAGACGACACACACACGCGTAAAGACACACGGATAGATTCGCACACATACGGAGACACACTCGCACGGACTGACACGGTTACACACACGGACACACAGAGATACAGGGAGAGACTCGCACACACACGGACGCACACACTTTCACGGACACACGGGACACACACGGACAGGCGACGCTCTTACAATCCTCGCCGGAAGTCTCTGGATTGTAAGACCGTTGACAGGATTCTACCGTCACCAACATCACCACGATGATCATCATTCTCAACATAATCATCAGCCATAGTTAATCCACTGCTGGACGAAGGCCTCCTCAGCGACCACATGCTACCACCGCAACCACCTCTGACGACGCTGCGGTGTGTAGGGGTCCACTTGGCACACAAAGACTTAGAGCCACGGCCACCAACGGACACAATCAAAATAATAATCATCATTATAACGAATCTGACTACCACCATTCAACCTCGAAAACAAAATTACCGTGTTGCTGTAATTAACAGGGCCGCTGTCGCCTCCTCCACCAGTGCAGTTAATGGCGCATTGCTGCTGCTGCCGGCGTCATGATTATAATGATCATAATTCATAATTATGTATTATTGTCACCGTCCTTGTTTAAACCACGACTTGTATTTTGAAATCAAATCACCGAACCAGCCGGTTTTTTGAGAAACCAAAGCCGAGACAATTTGTTGGCGTTGTTGTAGGGAAATATCGCGGTGGAGTGGCGTTGTTAGACCATCTCGCCACCATGGGGGTGCCGCGGTTGCAAGGAGTTGTTAACTACCTCGCCTGCTATACAGGAGGCTGTATATTTGGATTCTGCGCCTCTCTCTCCACGTGGTCGCATGAAGTTTTTCTCCGGGTCCTCCGTTCCCCCCCCCCCCCCCCCCCCACATTTAGAATCAACATCACGCGTTTTTGGCTGCTGTTATACATTTCCGCGTGATGATGATAAGCCACTTCGTTGAGCTATCATTTATGATGGCCAGGTCGCTTCTGAAAAAGAGCAACTGGATAGCTTAGTGGGGCCTTACCTGGTAAAATAAAAAAAAATAGTTTAAAAGTTTAACGCACGATACACATACGTATGTTGAATGTTTTTCGCGCACCATACACAGCCAATCATGCTAATCGGAAGTGCGGTGGCAAGACAACCAACTAAAAACACAACAATCCGTTCCGAAGAAATGAGTTTCCAATCTACGTGAGTCTTTGGATCTATGTGTGAGTCTCTGGGTCTCTGTATGAGTCAATGGGTTTCTATGTGAGTCTGTGGGACTATGCGTGAGTTTGTGGGTCTCTATGCGAGTCTGTGGGTCTCTGTGTGAGTCTGTCGGTCTCTGTCTAAGTCTGTGGGTCCGTGTAAGTCTGTGGGTCTCGATGGATGTATTTTGCACTTCTAGGAGGGGAGCGGTGCAGATAAGTGTTGCGGAATCCCGCTGTAGTTTCATAACGTTAATCCGCATATTGTGAGAAATCGGCCCGAAAGAGACCTCGACATTCCAGAATGTTGGTTGTCTTTGTTTGCTTGCTTGATTTTCAGATTTGATCGCAAAAAAATGGCGGCACTGTGTGGCGCAAGCTGCGTCAGTACGAAGGCAGGCCACGTCAACGACATTGTGACGAATGGTGACAATACTACTACTGATATCATGATACACGAGTTACTCATTTACCCAGCAAGTCCACGCAGAGTCCCCAAGATATCTACTACACGAGGGTTCTTACTACATCGGTATGTTCGATCAAACACGGTCATTGGAAGGTGAGAAACGGCCATCAGGCAACCAACGGATCCTACAAATCCACCACCGCCACCAACCACCACTACCACCGCCACCACCACAACCACCCACCACCACTACCACCCGCCACTACTACCATCACCACCGCACTACGGCCTCTACCGGGTGGCCACGCGTTCCTCCTCATCCCCGGACTCCTCATCTGGCTGTGCCGATGTCCTTGTACTGGCACAGCAGCAGGCGTTTGAACGTCTTCTTGAAGGCGGCGTTGCAGAGCGCGTAGCACGCGGGGTTGATGGTGCTGTTGATGTAGCAGAGCCAGTAGCCGATGATCCACACGGCGGCGGGCACGCAGCGGTCGCAGAACGTCGTGATGAGCACCATCACGTTGTAGGGTGTCCACGTGATGATGAACGCCAGCAGGATGGCAAAGATGGTGCGGGTCACCTTCCGCTCGCGCGCGGCCGCCTGGCGCTGCTTCTTCTTCTTCCCGGCGCCGCTCTTTCCGCCTAGCGCTTGCCCGAGTTGCATCCCGACGTCCGCTTGACGTTGCTGCTGCTGCTGCTGTTGTTGTCTCTGCTGCTGTTGCTGCTGCTGTTGCTGCTGCTGCTGCCGCCGTTGCCGTTTGGAAGCGCCGCTGCTCACCGCCCTGTCCGTTCCATCGCCGTTGCTCGCGGAGGCTGCCGCGGTGGCGTTGACATTGGTGGCAGCGGCTACGGAGGCGGAGGAGAAGGAGGAGGAGGACGTGGTGGTGGTGGCCGCGGTGGTGGCTGCGGTGGTGCTGCCGGTGCTCGTGGTGGTGGCCGCGTCGTTGCTGCTGCTGCTGCACACCGGCGTCGTGTCGATGACCGTCAGGCACGTGGCGTTGCTTCCGCCCGCGCAGCGGGTCACGGCACGCGACGCGGCAGCGTCTCCCGTCGTCACCTCGTCCTCCTCCTCGGGCGTCGAGTCCTCATCGTCGTCCTCCTCGTCGTCGTCTTCCTCATCGCACAGCTCGGGACCCTTCTTGGAACTCGGCGTCTGCGAACTCGACTCCGATGTCTCCTTCTCCCCGTCGCACCTCCCCTCGTCGGTAGCCACGGCAGCAGCCGCCTCCTCCTCATCCACCACCATCACCACCACCACCGCCGCCTCCTTCTCCTCCTCCTCCTCCTCCGCGTGTCGCTTGCAGGCGGCCTCCAGCACGAGCAGCCCGTTGTTGTCGGCGTTCTTCATCACAACCACAGCCGTCGCGTCCGACACCTTCGACCTGACGCAGCCACTACCACCACCACCACCGCCGCCACCACCACCACCGCAGCCACCACCACCACCACCACAGCGCTCCGTCACCAATCGTCGCGTCAGCCTGAGCCGCGAGAGGATGGCGTAGCGGCCAGGCTGAGCACCACCACCGCCACCACCGTGTCCGGACGCCTTCCTCCCCATCTCGCCGCTCAGCATCTTGCCGATGGCGTCCGCTTTCCCGCGCCTCGTCCTGCGACTCTTCCCGCGACGTCCCACCCGGCTCCTGCTCGCCCTGGACACGCGCGCGTACAGCGCGATCATGATGGCCACGGGCAGGTAGAAGGCGGCGATGGCCGTGCCGAAGGTGGCGGCGGGGTTCGATAGGAACTGGATGTTGCATTCGCCGTCGGGCACGGTGCGCTCGCCCACGATGTGCTGCCAGAACAGGATCGCAGGCGCCCAGAGCACGAAGGAGAGGGCCCAGGCGCCGGCGATCATGCATCCCGCCGTGCGGGTGGTGCGGCGGGTCGGGTAGGCGAGCGGCTTGGTGACGCAGAAGTAGCGGTCGAAGCTGATGATGAGCAGGTTCATGACGGAGGCGTTGCTCGCCACGTAGTCGAGGGCGAGCCACAGGTCGCAGACGAGCGCGCCCAGGGGCCAGCGGCCCGCGATGATGTAGAGGGTGTACAGGTTCATGGAGAAGGCGCCGATGAAGAAGTCGGCGCACGCCAGGCTGAAGAGGAAGTAGTTGTTGACCGTCTGCAGCTGGCGGTTCACCTTCGAGAATCGGAATCATCGGAATGTTGGTTTAGACTGCAGCAGGAGGAATCCGATGAGCAGTAAAGCTCTTTATTTTTGTTAAAACAGATGTCCAGTAAGGGACGCAGCAGGGGTAAGAACGTTACAACAACAAATAATACAAAACACGGTAGGAGTGTAAAATATAGGAAAGGCAAATAAATAACCACAAAAACACACAAATTACACTAAAACTTCCACATCCTACCAGGCAGAGCCCACTGAGCTATTAACTTATTTTTCAGAAGTGACCTGGCTATCACAATGATAGCGCAACAAAGTGGCTTATCACCATCGTTTGGAAATTAATATTAGCCCAAATAATCTGAATAATCCATTTAATCTGATCAATCCGAGTCATGTGAATAATCTGAATCATCTAAATAATCCATTCATGCATGTTTCACCTTTATGGAGACCATGACGAGGATGTTGCTCACCACGGTGACGAGGCTCAGCGAGCCCGCCACCATGGCGATGAGGATCACCTCGAAGGTCTGGTAGGGACCACCTGCCGCCAGCGACGCGCCCACGGTGCCGTTGACGTCCGCGTCCACGGGGTGGGTGCCGTTGCTGGCGTTGGCGGTCCGATAGGAACCCGGGTCGCCCAACAGAGTGAGGTTCTCCATGATGTTGATGAGATTATCGGGGAGATGTCTTCTTCTGATGATGATGGTGGTGGTGGCGATGGCTATGATAACGACAATGATGATGGCGGTGGTGGTGATGTTGAAGTCAGTCCTGTGGATAGAGAGAAGACGAGAGGGAGGTGGGTGCGTTATTTCTCGAATGGAATTTTCTTCAGTCTCCAACAGGGTTGACAAGCATTCGAGAAGGAGCTTTCCGTCTGTGGGGTCACGTGGCACCCGTATGGACGATTACAGTCTCCTATAACGCGGTGGTAGTTGCGTTCCTGAAAAACACCACGTTATGGAAAGGTCACGTTGTAGCAACCATTGATTCAATGGGAATTAAGGGGTTAGGGGGTACAGTATAGTGGAGTGTATATTAGTGTAGCGTATTGTTTACTAGTGTATAGTGTGGCAGTGTAATGTATGGTGTAGCTTATAGTGTTGTGTATAGTGTATTATATAGTAGTGTTATCTATAGTAGCGTTAGTGTGTAGTGGTTTGTGTGTGTGTGCTGAACTTATTTCGCAATATATAGCCAACCATGCTAATCGGAGGTACGAAGGCTGTGAAGAGTTGGCAGGGTTCTGCTGACGAAAAGTCATTAGACTCGGTGAGTCGTTGTTGGGTAGCACAAGTGGAATCGTAGCAGTAATAATAACAACGATATTATTATTACGAGTAATGTAAATGCAATGTACGAAGTGTCACCCATTGTATTTGAATGTCACGCTGCATGCGATCATTCATCCTCACAGAGCGAGGGGCGATTATGATCGTCGCTGCCCTTCTCTACACATAGAGTCCCTCTCTTCTCTCTGTGCCTCTCTCTCTGTCTCCCTGTCTCTCTCTCCCTGTCTCTCTTTGTCTCTCTCCCTGTCTCTCTCTGCCTCTATCTGTCTCTCCGTCTCTCTGTATCTTTGTCTCTCTCTCTCTGTGTCTCTCTCTCGCTCTATCTATATTTCTCTCTCCCTCCCTATGTCCACATCTGTGTCTCTATCCCTGTCTCTCTGTTGTCTCTCTCCGTCTCTCTGTCTCTCTCCCTGTCTCTCTGCCTCTCTCTCTCTCTCTGCCTCTCTCCCCGTCTCTCTGTCTCTGCCTCTCTCCCTGTCTCTCTGTCTCTGTCCCTGTCTCTCTTCCTCTCTCTCTCTCTCTGCCTCTCTCCCCGTCTCTCTGTCTCTGCCTCTCTCCCTGTCTCTCTGTCTCTCGGAGAGCGACGACGGCGCGTTCGTTGGCCCCTGCACGGGGGTCAGGGCAGGCTGAGCAGAGGCGTGGAGGGAGGGAGGGGGGAGCGCCTCTCAGTTTCCCCGGGGCGAGCGGCGCGCATCGTCACCCAGGGGTCGCGCGCTGCCAATTACAGAGGTCAAGAGGCAGCACGGCGAGGTGAGCCCGCTTAGTTAGAGCCACGCACTCGGGGGGAGGGGAGCATACGGTGGGGGGGGGGGGGGGACGGTGGGGGTTAGACGGGGGATGGAGACGGAGGGGGAGGCGGTGGGGGGAAGGAGAGATGGGGGGTGGTGGGGGGGGGGGGCATGGTGCGGGGGGCAAGACGAGGGGGGAGACGAGGGGGAGGCTAGACGTGGCGGGGGGTGATACCGACACTGGGTGATGTCTGCTCGGGGTTCACAGGGTACAGGCAGTGGGGTGCGGCTGCTCTCTCCCCTTCTCTGCCCGTGCGGGCTGCGAATGAGCGGCCACCACATGGCTCGGCAATCTGCGGCTCTTTGGCTGTCCCCTTTACAGGCATCCGGTTTTTTTTTTTTAAACAAACTTACATTTGAAACGTAATTTAATTGCAAGGATAATAATAATAAATGATATTAAATGTGAGAGGGAATGGAGTCACAATGAGATGTCTTGGTGAAGACAAAATATACAACAAACTGTTTTGTAAAAGATTACCTAAAATGACACAAACTAAATACACGCAACGATGACAACTAATAAAAGGTGTTTACCCCCTCCAGCAATAAACCAGAATGGGTTACTACCCCTGTCGCTACCCCAACCCCTATCAGTACCCCAACTCTATCACTACCCTAACACCTATCAGTACCCCTATCACTACCCAAACGCCTATTACTACCCCAACCCCTCTCACTACTCCTACCCCTAACTACCCCTATTCATAAACCCCCTCCAGCAATAAACCAGAATGTGTTACTACCCCTGTCGCTACTCCAACCCCTATCAGTACCCCAACCCCTATCAGTACCCCAACCCCTATCAATACCCCAACTCTATCACTACCCCAACCCCTATCAGTACCCCAACCCCTATCAGTACCCCAACCCCTAGCATTACCCAACCCCTATCACTACCCCAACCCCTATCACTACCCCAACCCCTATCACTACCCCAACCCCTATCACTACCCCAGCCCCTATCATTACCCCAACCCCGATCACTACCCCAACCCCTATCACTACCCCAACTCTATCACTACCCCAACCCCTATCAGTACCCCAACCCCTGTCGCTACCCCAACCCCTATCACTACCCCAACCCCTATCATTACCCCAACCCCTATCACTACCCCAACCCCTATCACTACCCCAACTCTATCACTACCCCAACCCCTATCACTACCCAAACCCCTATCATTACCCCAACCCCTATCAGTACCCCAACCCCTCTCACTACTCCTACCCCTAACTACCCCTATTGATAAACCCCCTCCAGCAATAAACCAGAATGTGTTACTACCCCTGTCGCTGCTCCAACCCCTATCAGTACCCCAACCCCTACCCCAACCCATATCGCTACCCCAACCCATATCATTACCCCTATCACTACCCCAACCCCTATCACTACCCCAACCCCTATCAGTACCCCAACCCCTATCACTACCCCAACCCCTATCATTACCCCAACCCCTATCACTACCCCAACCCCTATCACTACCCCAACCCCTATCATTACCCCAACCCCTATCACTACCCCAACCCCTATCATTACCCCAACCCCTATCAGTACCCCAACCCATATTGATACCCCAACCCATATCATTACCCCTATCATTACCCCAACCCCTATCAGTACCCCAACCCCTATCAGTACCCCAACCCCTATCACTACCCTAACCCCTATCACTACCCCAACCCCTATCACTACCCCAACCCCTATCAGTACCCCAACCCCTATCATTACCCCAACCCCTATCAATACCCCAACCCCTATCACTACCCCAACCCCTATCCATTACCCAACCCGTATCACTACCCCAACCCCTATCAGTACCCCAACCCCTATCATTACCCCAACCCCTATCATTACCCCAACCCCTATCAGTACCCCAACCCCTATCAGTACCCCAACCTTTATCACTACCCCAACCCCTATCAGTACCCCAACTCTATCACTACCCCAACCCCTATCAGTACCCCAACCCCTATCACTACCCCAACCCCTATCACTACCCCAACCCCTATCAGTACCCCAACCCCTATCAGTACCCCAACCCCTATCAGTACCCCAACTCTATCACTACCCCAACCCCTATCAGTACCCCAACCCCTATCACTACCCCAACCCCTATCACTACCCCAACCCCTATCAGTAACCCAACCCCTATCATTACCCAAACCCTATCGCTACCCCCAACTCTATCACTACCCAAACGCCTATCACTACCTCAACCGCTCTCACTACCCCTATTGATAAACCGACCCCTATCACTATCCCTGCCCCAACCCCTCCTTAAACACTCCCAACTGCCCTCCTAACTGTCACCATAACTCCACCACCACTTTTAACAACAACCCAACCACCCTTTACTGTAATCACGAGCATCTCACGTTCAATATCATTGTTGTTAAGCGCCTCGGATTAAGGTGGTGGTATATACCACTGTAAGAGATAATATTTCAACAGTCGCATCGAGAAAATAATGATTTAGATGCAGGGAGCGTGCTACAAGGGTTGAGTGACAGTGATAGAGTGGTACTTTATAGAGGGGGTCACTAAGGGGCTATAGGGGAGGGACGGGAAGGAGTGGAGGGGGGAGGGAAGAGGAAGGGAGTGGCGATGATGGAGAAGAGGTGGTGAGGCTTTAAGAGAGGAACGGAAGGAGTTTAAGGAGGGGACTGCTTCATGTACAGGGACGGTGTTTAGTTTATGGGTATCAGTGCGGAGTCTATGGGCAATGTTGAGTCGCAGTGTTGAGTCTATGAGCAGTGCTGCTCAATGTACAGGGGGGTTTATTCCTGTGGAGGGGTGCTAGGAGGGATATTTGAAGTTCGTCTTCAATCAGAGACGACGCCTACTACTTTCTTACGGTCCGTACACCCGCAGCATTAACCATGGCGGCCATTTCGTTCGAACCGCGAACCTCTGCAACAAGGAGCCGCCGCTCGCCGCCGCTCGCCGCCCCCCCCTCCACCCCCCGTCACCGCCCCATCTCTACCTGCATCTCACAAAGTTGCGAACAAAGATCCTTTATTTCTGTAAGTATAATCTTCGTGACACACACACACGCGCGCCACGCACACAACACATTGAGATTGGTGTCAGTCACCAAAATCAATGCCGCCCTCAGCAGCCTCCCCGACACCCCTCTCCCTCCCCGGTGATCATGAACGACATTCGCGCCGCCACCCATTCCCCCCCCCTCTCCTGCTTTTCGTTTGACAAACTTTGGGCAACGCAGATCGCTCGCGTGTGGCTCTCCCCCCCCCCTCTCTCTCTCTCTCGAGGGGCCGCGCGATCGATCGGAATCATAGGTTTCACACTCGCCCGCCAACTCGGGAGGCGGGGTGTGCGATGATGGGGACACAGCTTCAAGTCGCCCACCCCCCGCTGCATCGAGGGTAGAAACATGGCTTCGCCACTTCACTTACTTTCCGTGTGTTTAGTTGATTTTCTTTGCCCCGGCACCTCCGATCAGCACGGTTGGCTACTGATGGTGCAAAAGAAGTTCAACACATATACACGAACATATACACGACTATACACTACGCTATGATACACTGCTATACACTATACTAAAGTGAAAACCAATTTCTTTCATGACTCCACTTCACGCGACCTGTCACTTCACTGCACACGGATTGTTTTATTATGTTGTTTAGCCATTCTGTTTCACGCAATCAAATGAACGTCGAACGCACGAAT